GATCGAAGTGAAACAGCTGTCAACGGAGCGGCTAAGAATTGTCATCTGGATGGAATATTAACGTGACACGAAGAAGGAAAAATGTCAGGCGTGTTCGGCGCTCTCGCGGAATTAAATATTGAAGCGGAATCTATTCAGCTATACGCGCGACGTGTTTGGGGGAATAATATTGTCTCTGGTTTAACGTGATTATCGCGTCAGGATTATTTTCTTTTTATTCCTTTAAGTTTCCGCTGGTTCCATTCAAAAGCGAAATGAAAGAATTATGTCGAGGGCAAGCGTGGGTTAAATGTCAACGTATAAAGTGGGATGTAACATGAACGGTGAAATAGTTTTCGCGGTGGATGTACGTTTCAATATGTCCCTTCTTTTGATGTTTTAATCGTCACTCAACCGCGACGGTGTCGCTTGTGTTTTATTTCTGTTAGGACTCGAATGCACTGGTTGAACCGGTGGGACAGCGAGAAACGCGGAGAGTTTCGTGTTCGTTTCGATTCTGTACGCTCCCGATATTTTTCACCCTTTCCTGACAGAATAAGGTCGGAGCGGTAATGTTTTCAGCATATTGTACGCTCGCGCCGGGAACACAGAGGGTGTTGATAAAATAAACATTCGCGCCGTAAAAGTCTGCTACTCGGCATATATGCGACAGTGGATACGGTGAAGCGACGTCGATGCGGATCTGTAAATGTTTCGATTTCAATTTACGGGACGTTCGGTTGAAGCCGCGACGAAGAAACGATCCAAGAATCATATTCTCATGACACGTCGTTCACCGTAACGATTCGTAAAACATTGCCTCGAGTTTGCAGAAGTTCCCAAGGACGTTTCTTCCGTGAAAAGACTCGTGCTTTTATCTAATTACACTGATCAGGCTTACTTTTAGCACATAATCTCTTGCGCGCCGTTTATCTTCGAATCGCGATAAGAATATAAACCACGGTACAAGATCTGTAATTGGTAACTCGTAGCAGAATTAGTGGCTGTAAGAATAAATAACGAACGGATAGAAATAAAAGTTAAAAACAGTAACGAGATGGGAAAGTGGAAGAAACAAAGTAAGGAATGGAAAAAGGGGGTTGAAGTACTGAAAAGGGGAGGACTGAAAGAAATTGGATTTAGTGGAGGGTGAGACTGTCGAGGGTGGAGAAGAGAGAAGCAATAGGAAAGAAGGGAGCTTGGCAGCGCTACCTAGCGGAGGAATAGGAATTAGAGGGGTGTTGTTGTCGACAAGGAAGGGAGGGTGAACGTTACAATAGAGCGTGTCGAACGAAAAACTGATAGACAGCAGAGGGAACAGCAAAAAAGAAGAAGAAATAAAAACGATGAAACACAAGAAGACGGAAAATATATAGGAATTTTTTAAAAAGTAACAAATAAGATGTGTCTAGAAGACCTGGTACATTTAGTTGAAGGTTGTATAAGAAACAGTAGACAAGAAATAAAGGAACAAATGTTTAGCGAAGGTCGCAATACAAGCGTGGAGTTACAAGTCGAGGGAACTTTATTTACACTATTTCGATTGTCCTATTGTTAGACTAGCTTTCGCGCTGTTGTGCCGATTTCTGAAGGTGAAGGATTTAAAAGGTTACACGGAACAATGGCCAAACGACCCATCAACCGACTCCCATAGCGTCTTGCTATGATGAGCAAGGGGCAATGGCCTGACGCCCTATCAGGAACTGTTTTGATTCGGCCGGGGCATTGTCCTAATGTCCTGATATCGGGCTCCGTGTGTCTGTCCTCTTTCGAGCGTTGACTACAGAAAAACAGCTCGCCAGTTTTTCTGTTGCCAACGCTTGCTAGAAAGTGATATTGAGAAAAACAGGGAAAGGGGATTGGAAAGTCGCTGGAGTGCGAAAGAAATTAAGGCGAGGGATAAAGAAGCTGAAATGCAGATAGGATCACGGGGGAACGAAAAGGGATCAGCAAACGTTACGAAAGAATATGAGACATAATTTCAAGTGAATTCCTTGAGCAGTTGTCGACAGGAACATTGTCTTCGATCAGTTTCTATTTCCTATAAGTACTGTGTCCACGGAAACCTTCGAAAAGAATAAAAATCCGAATTTTAATCCTTTGCACTCTGTTGGCTCTGCTATAGAGACAATTTGCATTACAAATTTCATACGATTAATGTCAAATGGTAAACTAAATCAAAAGAAGCCATGAATATTTGTAATTTTCCTTTTGCAAAATAAAGTGTATAGGTCCTTGAAAGTTTCACTATAGAAACGAACTATTAAGGAATTGAAAATATTCGAAGTGCAAAGGGTTAAGAACGTCCTCCAGCGTTCTTCAATTTCTTATAGGGAGCGGAACTGTCGTATAGAATCTTCCATGCACTTAACATTCGAACCGCAACTATATGTACCTTTCACACAGATAAAAAGGACATCCAGCGAACACAGGTCCGCGAGCTTCACATTTTCATCGTGGTGTTCGAATAAACGCGCACCGTGTGTTCGCACATGTTTCTCTTCCGCCCGGGAAACAAACTGTAACGTTTATCCGTAAAGTCCCGTAACGGCTTGTACATATTTTTCCCCCGAATTTCAAAAGTTCCACTTTATCCATCCGGAGGAGCGTTCTGGGTTCAAACGTCGCCGCTTTCTTTACCGCCATCATTTTTTATCCGCGACGGAGTGGCGTTACACGATCAGCCGTTCCCGGGCAAGACGGCAACAACACGGCTCCCTCGAATGTTCCTCGTCGGCGTGCTTAGTTTCCGCTGGCCTTCCTTGATAAATGGCAAAATTCCCCGGAAAAGATCCCCGGCGAGGGATAGTCGAGTGACGTTTCTGGGTTAGAACCCCAACGCCTTCTTTCTTTCTTCTTCCTCTTCAATGTCCCGCGAGAAAAGCGACTTTTCACGTCCCTCGCTGATGTTACCATTTTTTTCTCTGCGCCGGACCTGCCCGCGCCTATCATTAATCCCTTAATCACCGAATTTTCTCGGTACACAACGTTACTCGCGAATTTTATGTCAAGTATTAACCCTTCGCTCTCGTACGTCATGCTGGAGATAATACAAATTTGTTATACTTTATTTGTTTTACTTTAACGCTAAACCTACCAGACTGAATTTGCGACAGTTAAAGGGTTGATCTCTTACACTGGAAATGCCACGCACGTCGACATACTTTTGTTTTAACATTCCTAACGACGCGTTACATACCTTTATAATCATATTAAATTACATATTCCGTTTTAAAACCTACAACTCTATACCAAGATATTAATAAATAAGATTAGTACATATACTTCTGCAAAACGGGCAATGAAAAAATTCTTCGCACAGAACGCGAAGGCCGTGCCGTTCGAATTTTATGTCGAAAATACCTACTGGTTTTGACCGCTGTGGATAATAGTGTTTTTGAATTTCACCGATGCTTGTCCGTCGCAGCGTGACTTTGAACCGCACAAGTAATACACAAGCATTGTCGCTTGCCTCTGTTCGACCTCTGCTCGAGGGTTTTTCAAAAACACTTGGATTCAAACGATCAACCTTCCAACGATCTTGCCGGAATGCCACCTTTGACTCGCGATATCGAGTGGTGGGGAGTGCGTTCCGGGCAGTAACGAGGAGTCAAAAGTGACTCCGCTCAGTCTCTTACTGCTTGGTCGTCGGAGGGTTAACATCTATTCCCGCTGAACTTTCGACTCCCGTTCTTCTTTGGTTACGCGCTGGTTGCTCCGACGTAAGACACTTTAAATTTTCTTTCTTCCTCGTCCTTACTTTCCTTTTCTCAATTTAACAATCATCTATTAGAGGCAATGCTTTATACATTTCCTTAATTGTACGTTTCGATAACTTTATCCGCTAGAAGTACCATTGCTATTTTCAACGATAGTGGAAACTGTTGTTTAAAGAACACATGGTGGAAGGCGTTTGAAATGCATCCTCGAAGTTTTATCTTTAATAAATGGAACTCCGAGGCAACAGGGGACAATGTTAAATTTCCACTGGCTCGAGTTTAATGTATGTATTATTCATATCCGTTGTTTTTCTTTGCTGTTACAGTGTCTACAAAAGCGTTGGAGGGAGCGAAGAGTTTGGGCGGATTCTTGTATAGTGCAGTGAACAAAGCTGGGAAGACCGTGGTGGAGGCTGGTGTAAAGATTAAAAAAACTGTTGAGGAGAACGTGAGTAACATCTACATTTCATTCGTTTCTCCCTTGCCTTTCCCGTCGTGTAATCCGTTGGGACTCTTCTGTTTCGATCGGAGAAGATGTCTCAAAGAACGTCTTGTGTTCTACACCTTTGACTTTTCGAGTCGCTGAAATAAAGATAAGAAATTTCTTTTCGAAAGTAAGGAGTTCTGAAGAATGTAAGTTAAGGTCATAAAATTTAATCAAATCTATAATCTAATCAAAAATAGTATATATAACAAATTAATAAAAATTCAAGTAGCAAATGATACTCCACAATTTTGAACAGTCTTTCCTTTGTTACACGAAACTTCAATTAGAAGTGTGGAGTATAATGAAGTAATGTTTCTTGAGACACCTTATATCACGACAGCTATCTTATCTTTCCTTCTCTGGCAAAATAGAAATTACATGCGTTAATGTAGCAAGTTTTAAGGTAGTAGCTTGAAGGATTTCATTAAATAACGGAATCCTCTAGTGCAGTGCACTTCTGTTCGTAGCTATCTTTCAACAATTCCTCTACGGTAGACTATAATTATTAATACGAGATTTTCAACTGAGAATCACCCTTTTATACCGTAGAACACCGAAGTCAATACCAAAAGGATAATAACAGTTAGAAACATTTTTGAAATACAGTAGAAATTTCCATTAACCAAGCTTATTCGTACATTTCATTTAAATGAATCAAACTTGTAAAACTTGTTCTTTAAAGTAGAGAACCGTTTCGAAACTTTCCCCAGGTATCATAATTGCGCGAGATCGACTCGATACCATAAATCGAACCGGATTTTAATAAATCGCGTGCAGCTGACTCTCGACGATCGATCAATAGAAACGCACGCGCGCACACAAGATTCTGATCGAAAAGCCTCTGCATCAAATCTGTCGACCGTTGAATTTGTCGGTACCACTTTATAACGATTCGTCGAACTTGAATGGATATTGTCGACCCGACGTTTCCCTATTTTTGGCTTACTTCCGGTTGAAATACTGACCGGCATTGTTCGTTCACGGGAACAACCGACGTTTGTTTTCAAAACAGAACGCGACTCCGCGTTGTACACCGTGCGTGTCTTTATGAGTCGAGCAATGAATTAATTCCACGGGTTCCTGGGTCGGTACGGAACTTTTCACGCGTTTCGTTCACGCCGCGGCATTATCTTTGTTCGTAGAACGGCCAGAAATACGTCGACAACAAGAACTGGGAAAAGAAAAGCGGCAATCTCGAGACCTGCCCGCGATGGTCCTCGAGCTTAATTCCGCGAGCTGCCCACGGTCGCCCCGCGTACCTGTGATAATTGCGAGAACCGGCTTTCGTCTTATTTCCGTTCGAGGAGTAAGTTCTTTTCCGATTGGGTAGGAAATAATTTCCGCGAATCTACGGTCTGTCCAGCGAAGATCAACCAGCGAGAACCAAAAACCGTTCGTATCGCGAGTAATAGATTTTCTTTTCAATTCCACTGACTTTTAATCATAGATACATACCAAGCAATTTATCCGAAAATCGGATTACCACCGATCGATACCAAATTTCCATTTATCCGACGATTGAAATCGATCAGAGAGTTTCCAACAAAAATCAGCTGTGACGTACTCATTAAGAATTACACGTTGGCACAAAAACATTCACAGGAGAAAGAGAAAAAAAGCGAATCGACGCTCGACTGCGCACCCTACGTTAATTTCGTTCCCGTTATAAATTCCCCAGCGTCGACTACATTCGTTCCAGCGACGATTCGTCGATATTTAGACGCGTGTGCCCGGGGACGCAGATTAATATCCGCGAATTCCGGCAGCGAGTAGGAAAATCATTTTCGACGCGCGTGACGCGCGGGATTTTCTATAGAGCCGTGAATCGGTGGAGATTTTCCTAAGCGACGCCGACGTTTCGAAGGATATTCCGCGCGCGACACCCGGCTCTCGCACCTTGCGCCCCGCTATTATTGCGTCCGGATCGTGTCAATGTGCCTTCCCATCGGTCGTCGGGGGGTGTTCGATGGAATTGTTCGCGTCGCGCGGCGATCAATGGCCCCGTGAAAAGAACCGAAGGGTTGTTAAACCTTCGTCGCCGTGATATATATTTTCCCCCGTTGCGCGGCGCGAGCCGATACGCGCGGGGCGGGGCAAAGTAAATACGAAAGTAACGAATATCCGCGTATTATTTGCCATCGCGGATGGGCAACGATATTCCGGAGCGTTCCGCGGGAATTGGAACGGAAACACCGGGCATCGGCTCCGAGACCGACGCGGACGCGCGTTTAATTAAAGATAATTCAGTCGTCGGCGAACGGTGGACCGCATCAGCGGAATTTATTTATTTCAGCATGAACCGTACCGGGATCCGGTCGAACGACCGGATTTAAAACTCTGCCTGTTCTTCCGTTCGTTGAACTCTATATATCAATTTCTATCTTGCCCGATCAATCAGTTTTACAATTTCTATTTTTCCTGTTCCTTCTGTTTCCACTGGGAAATTGATCGTCTTACTTGTTTACCTTTATTCCGTAGCTAGTTATTTGACTGATTGCGGTAGGAAAAGTGCTCGATTGGTTACGGTAGATTAGCGCCGATATCGTATTACAACGCGACCGGAGCTGCTTTTCGCGGTACAGCGAGAATTCCATGGCCAAAACGCGAACTCGAGTTGATTCGCGCGGAAGGGCAACGCACGGAGCGTCCGATGCGATACCGTGGGCTTTATTATCCACGCGGAACTTCGTTACAGTATGTAACCGGGCGTTTATGGATCGATATAAAATTTGACGTTCCGCTCCACGCAAAACGCGATTCCTGTATTCCATTTCAATTTCAATTTCGATTTCGACTAGGGAATTAACCGGCGGGGCGGGGGCCGAACAGCGCGCGCCTTTGTTCGCGGCAAATTGGAACGCCACCGGGAAATCTCCGATGCGTCGAAGATTACGATCGGCAATATCGCTCGGAAATTATCACGCGAACAATAACGAACGCGCTGCGTGGGAAGCTCCTCTGCAATTTGTTTATTTTATTTTTGGTACCGTGATACATGGAAGCGAATCGTATCGGAACGACCTCGATGTATATATTTTCTTCGGTCAACTGTATCCTTCGTTGTTCTATTTATCGATCATCGACCGATGAGCTATTGTAGGAGAAATACTTTTATAGTAGTAACAGTAGTAATGTATTAGTCTTGATCTGTAGTCGTCAGTAGTATTTTACAGTAGTGTATATAAATAATTATAAAGTTTCTAGTATAGGTAATGAAATTTTGCTTAGTTCGGTTTCGTGCGAGTTACTGTTGTGAATATTGAATCTCTTAGTGGTAGAAACAGCAGTCTACGTTGTAGTTGACGAAAAGGAAGAGCAAGAGTACGGACAGATATTAATGACTCTGGCGGAAACCGATTTCCGAGGTATCACTGTTGATCGTCCGAAATCCGCGTCGGAGCTCCAGCTTTCCGGAGAGCTACGGGATTTTTCGTGTGACGCGTTCTCTCCGGCGTGCAATCTTTTCGCGGCGGCTTCCGCCGTGTTCGCAGCCGTGGCGCGCCATGTGTGCGCGCGACGTGCAATTTCTCAGGAGAATCCGACAATTCCGCGTTTAATGCGACCGTGTTACAGTCGACAGCCGGTTTGTACCTTCGGGATCTTTGATTGCGAGTCACTCGTCTTGCGAGACCTCCAACTCTCGCTTCATAAGCAGGCTGCCGCGTTTTCTTGCCGCGAAACGACGCCGGCGGATCGAGCTTCTGAAACAATGCTTTATTACCTCGATCCCCGGCATCGGGAAATGCGTCTGACTCGGTGGTTTTATTTTTTAAGAACTCCGTGCTCGGTAAATAGCTCGGGACGATTGTAATTTAATGCGAAATTTTATCGACGATAAAGATTCAGAGGCGGATGAAATTTTTACTCGAACCATTTGTAGAAATAGACGTAAAGTGAAGGTACATAAAAGTGAAATATTGAGATCTTCGGAAGACTTCTATGAATATTATGATTCATTATTCCTTTTAAGAAACCATCTTTTGTCTGTACTTATTAATACAGTACGAAACAATAGTAAATATCACGTCAACCTAAGAAAACTCAAAAATTTAATAATATCGTTTCAATGCGATTCAAACAATCCCATAATCCTAGCTAGACGAGTCGCAAAGAATCCCCATTCCAGTTTCGCATCTCTACTTCAAACTAACCTTCGTTACACATATCCTATGTCCAAACGAAAATTAGCCAATCTACAACAAGTTGTCCCGCGTACGTCGGTCGCGTGTTGTTGCCGATTGATTAGCGTCGCGGTGGATCGATGAAAGGGGCGGCTAACTCGATGAAGATCGAAATGAAATTTCGCGCGGCCGATGAATTCGAGCGAGCGGCAGCCGACCGACGGCGGAATGTATTACAGCGTCGAAGTTAGGGGATGGTGACGGTTCAACGGGCGCATAATGAAGTTAGGCGGGAGAGGGCGTCGATCGGTCGGCACGCGGGTGAGAAAAATCCATTGGGAACCGGGAATTCCGGCGTGCACGCGCGGCTTCGCGGAAAATTGATCGCGCCGCGGTTCGACGGCGGTGTTCCGCCTGCGAACAGCGATCGAGCCGCTGCCGGCACTTCGGGATATCGGGTTCGGAGGTCGTGTTGTGTGTCACCCCTGTCTGCCCGCGCTAGACACGCAACGGATAGGTTAATGCACTGCTCCGGTGTCTGGGATCAACTTCCGGAACTCGTGTTTCGGATACGCGGAACGCGCCGGATTGTTTAATATGCTCTCGATCCGATAATCCCGCGGTACGCGCGGAACTTTGGAATCGTCCGCCGATTTTCGGCGATACCGCGCCGGCGACGAGAACTCCGACGCGACTGGCGATCGATACTTTCGCGGAATAGAATTTCTGTGCGGCTAACTCGATATTAACGCGAGATTGTTGCCGGACCGGGCTTCGGGATTTGCTAGGGGATGAAACGCTGTTTTACGATTTCCTGATGGTTCCGTGAGTTGAGGCTGT